CTCTCTCTCTCTCTCTCTCTCTCTCTCTCTCTCTCTCTCTCTCTCTCTCTTCTCTCTCTTTCTCTCTCTCTTTTTTGAGGCAGACGTGTGTTACATCGCTCCGTAAAAATCATAGTTTTTACGGTGACCCAAGAGGGCGGAGGGGAACAAGAGTTTCCACAGTGATGATAGTATCGACTATAAATATGTGTGTGCGTTATCTAGTCGGAATGTGTTGAATAGTCCAAGAAAGGTGAGAATTTATATGTGACATTCTGGTGCTTGAAAGACAGGTGTCAATTAAAGTGCCGACGTAGATTATTCGGCGACCATGGACGCTAAGGTAAGTAATTAGTGGAACGCGTGGTGATTTATCGATATTGAGGATAACAGTCGGTAATGCTTGAATCTGATTATGCAGAGTATCGTTGCTGTGCGTGCAAGAAGGAAATAAAAAGCATTGTGCTGCAGGAGATAAAAGATGAAGTAGCATGTAAGAATGAAATTAAGATGATGATTGCAAAAATCATTCGGGAAGAGTTGGAAACTTTTAGGCGTGAACTTAAAGAAATGAAGAGGAATGTGCAGGAGAAAACCACTGGAATATCAGGATTAGGAAGTTATAGTGCGGCAGTAAAAAATAAGAAGAAAGAAAGCATCTTAATTGTCCAATCGTTAAAGGAACAAGAGAGTGAAACTACCAAGAAATTAGTAAAAGAAAAAGTAGCTATAAAGAAGATGGAGGTAGGAATAACAAAGCTGAGGAAAGGAAGTAAAGGTTCGGTCATTCTGGGATGTGAGAGCGAGGGAGAAATGGAAAAACTGAAAGATACAGTACGCGAGAAGCTAGGTGAAGACTTCAAGATCACAGAACCGAAAAAAATAAGACCGAAAATAAAAGTTGTAAATGTTGGAGAAGAAGAAATACAGCTGAAAGATGAAATCTTAATTAATACGATCAAGAAGCAGAATACAATCGACGGCAGAGAAGATGAAGAATTTAGCATAAAAATTGTGAAGAGAATTGTTGAGGATGATTCTTTAATACTAGAAATAGATGAAATGACTCATGAGTTAATGCTAAGAAGAGAGAAAATAAATATCAGATGAAGGAAGTGTCGTGTATTTAGTCATTATAGTGTTAAGAGATGTTTTAAATGCTGGGGTTACTACCATATTGCCAAAAATTGTAAGCGGCAGGAAACATGTCATAAATGTGCTGGGAATCACAGAGCAGGCGAGTGTAAGGCAAAAAAGATGAGATGTGTAAATTGTATGCACAAGAGTAAAACATACAATTTAAAAATAAATGACGACGATGCTTTAGAAAATGTCCGACTTTCATCAGAGTGCTGGAGGAGGAGAAGAAGAGAACTGGCGGGAGTCTACTAAATAGCAATCACGGAAGGAATCAATTGTATACACGAATACGCAAAGTCTTATGGCGCATAAAGACGAAATTCAAGATTACATAAAGGGGATGAATTTGGCAATCATAGCGTTATCGGAGACCAGACTCGTCCCGGAAATCGAAGATAGTGAATTAAATGTGCCGGGATATGATTTAGTTAGATGCGATGGAGAAAACAGAAACACAGGAGGCGTTGTAATTTATATAAGAAAGGATATCAAATATCAGGTAATAGCGAAGAAGAAGATAGAATCTAACTGCTGATGCGTTGCGGTTGAGATGAGAGATAATATATACAAAGGCGTGACTATAGTTGTGTACCATTCACTGTGCTTCAGATGGCGATTTTATAAAATTTCTAGAGGATATAGTGGATCTTCTAGTAACGAAAGATCAATGTATTATGCTAGATGACTTTAATATAGATTTAATGATATGTTTTACGCGAAAAAACTAATAAATGAAATGTTATGCTTGGGCATGAAGCAATATGTAGATAAGCCGACGAGGATCACAAAAAACAGTCAAACTTTGATAGATTTAATTTTCGCAAATACCAAGATAAGCTGTAAAGTATACGATAAGCTAAAAGTATCAGATCATTCATGGATAAGCGTTGAAATTAATATAAGTAATAATAAGGTAAAATATAGAGAATTTATTAGTAGGGATTTCAGCAAATTTCAAATAAATGAATTTTTATACGAAATAGGAAAAAGATTGGAACAAAGATATAATTTAGAGGTAAATGAAAGAGCAGAGAAGTTTGTTCAGAATATGGTAGCGGCATTAGATAGCATAGCATCAAAGAAAAAGTTTAAAATTCCAAAGTTATGGGAAGGAAAAAAATGATATTCGGATGATATAAGATTAGCTACAAATAAAAGAAATGAAGCATATGTGAGGGCGATATATACGTAATACGATATATACGTATAATGAACAAGATTGGCTGCAGTTCAAAATTGAAAGAAATATGGTAATTAAATTAGAAATAAAAAAAAGAATATTATGAAAAAATGATAGATGATAATAAAAATGATCCTGTTCTAATGTGGAAAACCTTAAAAGAAGTCATAAGAGGAGAGACTATGGGTTCAAGAGAAATTAATAATATAGATTTTGAAATATTAGAGAATGTAGGAGAATGTACTTTAGCGAATAAATTTAATATATTTTATATACAGAGTATTAAGGAAATAATAGAATCTATTATATAAGAAAAAATGACAGTAAAAGTACAAAAACTATCTTTGTTATAGAAAGCAGGGGCATAATTGAAAATTTTGAATGCATAAATGTACAAAAATTAGAAAAAATTATTATGGCATTGCCACAGAAGAAGGGAACAGATGAGAGGATCTAGCGATATATTAAAAATAAGTTTTCAAGTGATAAAAGATGAACTATTAAGAGTAATAAATGAGTCATTAACAAATGGTATATGTCTGGAGGGATGGAAAACATCTACGATAATACCAATTCCTAAGATAGAAAAACCAAAGAAAGCCTGTGAATATAGATCAATTAATATATTACCAATTTATGAGAAGGTTTTAGAATTAGTTGTAAAGGAACAAATTGAAAAGTACTTGCATAGTAATGATATTATAACAGAACATCAGTCGGGATTTAGAAAATATCATTCGTGCGAAACAGCGATACAAAGTGTCATTGATGATTGGAAGTTGATAATTAGTGAGGGAAAAATGATAGGAGTAATATTCTTGGACTTAAAACGGGCATTTGAAACGATAAATAGAAAAAGATTACTGGGAAAATTAGATCGGAATGAGAGGGATGGTATTAAAGTGGTTTAAATCATATTTAAGCAATAGAACACAACAAGTTAGATTTAATAATCAATGGTCAAAGTGTATCAAAACGGAATATGGAGTTCCGCAAGGATCGGTACTAGGTCTTTGCTGTTTATAATTTATATAAACGATTTAGTAGAATTTTGTCCAGAAGAATGCAATATAAAAATGTTTGCAAATGATACTTTAGTATATGTAAGTGGGGAAAGTAGTGCGGAATTAGAGAGGAAAATGAACATGGTACTTAACATAGTAGAAGAGTGGATGAGTGTAAATAAGTTGAAAATGAATGCAAATAAAACAAAATACATGATAATCAGAAATGTAAGAAAGGAACAAAAAGATAATATTATATTGAGATCGGACGGAATTAAGTTGGAACGCATCGAAAAAATAAAATATCTTGGCGTAATTATCGATGATAAGCTCCAATTTAAAGATCACTGTGATTATATGCTAAAGAAAATAGGAAAAGACTAGTTTCTTAAATAGAATAGGTAACTTCGTATTAGCGTATACTAGATGTATTGTACATAAGTCGATCATAGCACCTCACTTTGAGTACTATGCTACGCTATTAGTTGAAATGGGAGAAACGCAATTGAACAAACTTCAAGTAGCTCAAAACCGTGTCATGAGAGTTATTTTGCAATGCAATAGATATATCAAAGTTGAGCACATGCTGCAGGCACTGCAGTTTATGTCCGTAAGGCAACGATTATATTATAATGTGCGGGTATTTATTTTTAAAATTTTAAATAACATGGCACCGATGGCGTTAAGTAATAGATTAGAAATAATGGGAAGTGAATGTGATAAACAAACGAGACAGGCCGGAAATATTGTATTAACATTTCGTAAAACTAGAAGTGCGCAAAAGAGTCTGTTTTACCTGTGAAGGAATAAAAATATACAATTCTTTGCCAACCGAGATAAAGAAGTGCGTAAAAATTGAATCGTTTAAGAGAATGTTGAAAGTATATGTGGTAAATAGTGTAGAATAATTATGTATATGTATATGAAATAGCTGAGAAAGCTAATAAAGTTCAATCAATCAATCAATCTCTCTCTCTCTCTCTCTCTCTCATCAATCATTAAGAACATATATTACATTAAGAATATATATATATATATATATATCGATATCTCTCGATATCTCATTTTATGATTGAAACAAATTCCTCATCGAGTAAGAAAAAACTACATATATCTACGCATGTCCATAGGTTGGCTGCGACGGTCATTTATGGAAGCATCAAACGGAGTTAGTAAAACAATTACGCGAACAGGCGAAGGATGGTACTCTAACGGAAGTTCTGCAGCTGCCTGTGATTTCGTGGCGCGTCAGAACGGATTCAAGTTCCTTCTTAAGAAACAGACGGGAAGCCGGTTCTGGCGACTACGATTCAGATGATTATGACGGTTATGATGATAACTATGATGAATACGACGAGGAAGACGAAGAAGGTGATAACGATGAGTCCCGAGTACCGCCAACACTCATGCCAACAGCGGAAATACCGGACTTCAAACACCCGCATAGGCATCATCATGGCGAAGAAACGATCGATTGGAAGGTGAGTTGCAATAATGTAAAATTATGACCTATGCTAATTTTTTAATGTAAATTTTTAATGTAAATTGCATGAGACGTTCAGAAATAATTGCAACGATCGAATGTTCCTATACTTCGTTTCAGAGCGAAGATATCGATGAAGATGTGATAATACCAAGAATGAGTCAAAGCGAATTAGAAAATAAAATTACGTCTACGGTAAGTGGTTCTGCGAATATAAATGCTGACCAAAATAATCGAAACGCAATTCTGCGTGCTTTCTTTGATTAGCATTTATATTTGGAATATTATGGCCTTTTATTGTTTTCATCAAGATTTTTATGTTTGTGCTCCTCATTCACTATGCCGCTTGCGGGGAATTGTTACGCTTAAAAAGTTTAGAATAGCTACTGGTATTATGTATTTTAACGCTGGCCTCTATTTCGTTTCTGCAAACTGTATACTCCGTTTGTGCAGACGTATATTCTAAACGCACATTCTAAAATGTGCTGTACAGACTGCATCGCGAAAATCTCTCCGCAAACGAAAGTCTGACTTGGTTCTCTATTTGTACAACTTTTTCGTCCCTTCAAACTAACTAACCACTCGTTTTTCGTGCCATACATCGCATACTAACGATTTCGCAGACAAGAACCACTGAACTTACTACATCATCACCATCAACATCTACAACTACCTCTATTACTACGACGACAACTACAACCACCACCCAAGCCGCGTCAACGTCCGTAACTTCTACTAGTACCACTACGACTATCACATCAGCCGATATAACAGCTACAGCTAGTATCTCCACCGCTCCAGCTCCATCGATAGAATCTCCGCGATTAGAGACTATGGATGAGGAATCGTCGACAGAGAGAACAAGATCCGTGGAACCAGTTACCATCGAATCTGTTACCGTTTTATCAACCATCCCTTCGGATATTACCACGACTCCTCTTCCCGTAACCACTCTACCGCCTTTTAGCACGTCGGCCACTCAAACAACAATATCTGATAAAATTGAGACGGAGATCGTCGCCGGTATTAATAATATTACAACAGAAGAGGTAATGCTTACATGCTTTAGTGCTTTTCTCATTTGTATAATAGTTCATACTGCTATACATTAACTTCCTCGTATGCTATATCGTTCTGATTTGTCGAACTACCGCTTTGCCGAGATAAATTGTTTTATCATCCTGATAAAAATTGTCGTCCATTATATTAACAGTAATCTGTTATTAATAATGGCTTAAACTTTTATCCTAATTACATAATTACTTTACTCTTCCTGATGCAGTGATCTGTCATATATTTTGATATGCGATGTCTCTCTCTAGCCGGAACAAAGTATAACGAGAGAATCCACGAGAGAATCAACTACTATATCAACACCAATTGTCGTGGACATCAACATCACTACTCTATTGCCTGCAGTTATGCCAACGAACATTACTGTCACGACTACGACACCTGTAGTCGTAACTAATGCCACGATTACGACGATGCCGTCATCATCGGATCATCGCACAACATCGAGTACAACATCACCCACTACTAGCACGACCACGACCACGACTACGACTACTACCACTACTGTAGCACCTACAATTACCACAGCTCGGATAACGACGACAGATCGGACAACTATAGAATATGGTATCGAATATGGCCAAGCTAATTTCCCACCGAGACGCGACAGGAGATTGAAAAAGATACCGGTAACCGCTGGCAAACCGTTAAGCTACGTTATACCGGCCAACACTTTCATTGATATTGAAGACGGTGACACGAGGCAGCTGAAATTAAGTTTATATTGGCAAGGCGCACCACTTAAAACAACTCACTGGCTCCAGTTCAATCATCATACCCAGGAAGTCTATGGATTGTAAGCTTATAAAATATCTTTCATATTTATTTCTTAAACAAAGTAGACAGATTTTCTCTTCATTACTCTTTTTCTTTTAATAGACCCCTCGAAAACGATATATCTACATGGAATTACGAACTGGTTGCGACAGACAGAGAAGGTGCCAATGTCACCGACAGTCTTGATATTCATGTTCAACAGCACAAGCTGAGTCGCAGCGTTAATCATGAATTTAGTATTTACTTGAGAATTGACAAACGGAACGAGTTTCCAACAGACGTTGACTGGGAACTCAAGGTACGTGTTAATAACTTTCTTAATCTCTCATTAACTTCTAATTGCTTTTCGATTACAGGTCATTCGAAACTTGGCTGAACTTTATAGAGACAGCAATACGCAACATATCACGGTGCGTTCCATTGATATCGACACTAATCATGAGCAATCTATTTTCATATGGACTAACGATAGTCTTCCAAGAAGCAGCGAATGTCCGAAAGAATATATAAAGAATTTGTTGCGTGTAAGTGATTGTTACATTACCTCCATTTTTTCAAACAAATTGTACAAGTTTTAAAAATAACATGCATGTTATCAGGTACTTATCGACAATGATGGAGATCCTTCGTCTTCTTTAAAAGCAGCTCTTGCTCCAGAAATTAGAGTTAAGCGTGTAGTATTTCAAGGTATTGGCCAATGCGAGGATATGAACCGTCCCGAAGTACCGAAAGTCTCTATCGAAGAACCGAAAGTTAATTTACCGCCAATTCCAAGGAATCAAGTCGATCATGTCAATGCAACAGTCGGCCAATTACTTGTGTTTAAAGTGCCAGAAGTATATATTTTATTAATTCCTATTGTTTTCATTAATGTGAACAATGTGAATAATCGTCTGCATTATTTTTGCAGGATACGTTCTTCGATTCTGAGGATGGATCTTCACGAAACATGAAGATGTCACTTTTGACTATCGACCGAAAACCTATTCCATCTCACGAATGGCTACAGTTTGACAGCAAGAATCAAGAATTTTACGGTGTGCCAATGGATACCGATATTGGTCGCAAGGAATATCAATTAGTTATCACCGATAAAGAAGGTGAAAGTTCACACGGTTCAATCTTCTAAAATGAAAAATACATTATTAACAATTAAATAATGAATTAATATTCTCTAGGTGCGAGTGCCACAGATGGATTAGTCGTCGTCGTTCATCCAGCACCTTCCATGCAACATACAGTGGAATTCTCAATGACACTGGATATCCCTTATGATTCTTTCGCACATTCCGCACTTCAGAAGCGGAATTTTATTGAGAAATTACGCGATCTCTACGGAGACAGGGACACGAGCGCTATCTTGTTGCATAACATTTCGAATAGCAGTACCGTTATCACATGGCACAACAGAACTCTACCTACGTCATACTGTGCTCACGAGGAAATCAACAGACTACGATCCGTGCTTGTAAAGAGCGACAATGATCGACGTTCTGTGACGGACGAAGTGTTGGATGTGATGGGATTGAAATTTCCAGTAAAACAGATCACAGTAAACCCGACAGGGATTTGCCTCGGTGAATTAACGGGTGTTCATTCGCCAGATAGCCACGTACCAGCGGTGGATGATTCCACATCTGTCGGTGCGTTCCACGACGATTATCTTCTCACCTTTGTTCTGCCGGCAATTATTATCGCTGCTATGCTCATCTTGGCGGGAATAATCGCTTGCGTGCTGCATAAACGAAGGCGCAGTGGAAAAATGAGCGTCAGTGAACAGGATGACGAGCGGCAGAGTTTCCGAAGCAAAGGAATTCCTGTAATTTTCCAGGATGAGCTAGACGAGAAACCAGATCCCGGTAATGATTATTTATCAATATATTTATCAGTATATTAATGGAGATAAATTCGTTTGGTGATATATCGTCCTCACCGCAACGTTACGTGCTTCCAGGTAATAAATCACCTGTCATTCTTAAGGAGGAAAAACCACCTCTTCCACCACCCGAGTATCAGAAAACCGAGGATGGTGCCGATATGCCGATGCTGCCAAAGGAGAATTCCGAAGAACCATACCAACCGCCGCCGCCATTTGCCACAAATCGTGACACTAATCGTCAAAATCGTCCCAAACCCACTCCGACGTACAGGAAACCGCCCCCTTATGTGCCTCCCTAACAAAATACGGTGCATTCGCCTACGCGTAAATATATGTTAGCAATGCTCGGAGACTCGCCAATACATAAACAAAACCAAATCAATTATAAAAAGCAATCTCGAATTGGCGACGATGACGATGATCATGGGACTCTGAACGTTTATAGCGATGTTTGAACGAAGGCCATTTTTCATTCACTCAGTATAAGACAATATACTTGTACTAACTACTGCTTTGCGAGGCGTAAATGGAAGATTTTTCCGCGAGAACTTTTTTCGAACCTACGCGTGTTTTTACTTATTTTATATATACATACATATATATGTGTATGTGTATGTGTATGTGTGTGTGTATATCAACAACGGCATGTCTCGTTACGATTTATCGAAAAAAAAAATATTCTTTAATCGATATTCGATCGATATACATTCTTTTTCAATTATATTTATATTTCGTGCGAAAAAGGAAAGATTTTCTAGGAAGTATGGGAATACAAATCACGTGTTGCCTTTCGTAAAGAATTCAATTGTAAGAAAGGATCCACTGCTCCGAACTCAATACGCGAATTTAGTTTAGATTGTTCATAGAATCAATACAGCGGTAGAATATAAACGTATTTTATTCGGCTCTGTAGCATTCAAGACAGCAACGATATTCGTAAATATTTCAATAATCAGTGCCATTTATTAAGCAATAAGGGTATCCGACTGTAAATGACAGCGCGTACGTATAATTAGTACGATTCTACGTGCGCGGACTTATCCGTGCGATTACTATTTACAGAGAGTCTTCAGATATCAAGAACGATGGATTAACGAAATACATTATATTATACACTTACAACGTATAACACTGCCAGAACGACAAATGCGCGATATGTCGCCAAGCGAGAAGGTTCGAGATTATATATATATATATACGTGTGTAATACATATATGTATGTATGTATGTATGTATGTATGTATGTATGTATGTATGTATCATGTATTTTCTGAACCTTCCATTTAGGAAAATTCGTGGCGAGATAAACGAAATTGAGTTAAATGTCATTCTCGTGAACGGATAAAAAAATTAGCTCGCTTGGTGATTACTATTAGTTAAGAAGAAAATTTCAGAAAGAATTTAAACATTTTTGAGACATTTAAAGAAACGATTATGATACATGCAATGCCATTGCAAAATGACAGCAAATGCTTCCATTGGCACAGTAGGCCATGCAGATAACTTATTTAAAATAAAGAAACTAATGATAATATATACAAATATAAATATGTATATTAATACCTATATTTGCTGTTCGATAGACATCAGTCTACAGTTATATGGACAAAATGTAATTTAAAAAATACTGCCAGACCAATCGAGTTACTAGCATTTACTTTTGGCTACGAAAGAGATCCATTATTTATTTTACGCACAATTTTGACGCTTTGCAACTTGTATGACTTAATAACTGCAATAATTCTTTTTTTATTTCTCAGATCTACATTTATATTCATGAACGCGAAAGAAAGAGTTAGCATCGAAGAGTTAACTCAGGATAAAAACAAAAAAACATTGATGCGCACGTACATAAGAATGAGACTATTTAATTTAGACTTTACATAGTTACCAAGCCAAAAAGTAATTAATACTTAAAAAAGAAGAAGAAATAAGGTAGTATGCCGTATATTTGTAATTGTGAAAAAAAAAGAGAAACATGGCTCGCACTCTTTAGGCCGCATTCTTTTACAATAATTTTTATAATTTTTTAATCGCTGCTTGCGAGACGCACACTCGCTCATATAATACATATACATATTCACACACGCGCGCGCATGCGCATCATCTCATCATTTGTACGTCGGTGCGTCGAAAGAGTGCGGGTACGTACAGCTGTTTCTTCAATACCTCGATAGTTTCCTGATATTTTTAAAAGGAAATACGAGAAATAAAAAAAAATTTCATTGTGCGTTCCGAATTTTCAAGAGCTCCGTTTGTCGAACACGTCCGTCGATGTACGGCGAGCGGGTCGCAATGAATTTGTAAATGCGCCTATAACTAGTGTGAATGCTGATGATTAATACGTATGTAAGATAACAACGAGGATGTTTCATATGTGCAACTAAATATTACGATATATTACGGCTAATTAATTCGTGTCCTTGTATAACATAGAGGATTTAAATGTATGGCAAGAGGAAAGCACGTGTCACGTGAAGCGTGACTTGCCTATAGATTCTTTTTCTTCTTCGCGTTCGAATGTATCAAAACTGGCCAGATTTATCTATAATCCCGAAGAAATGCACTTTCATATATAATTAAACGCGTGATTGTACTGCTTTGCGAGAGAGGAAAAGGATCATCGCAGTCGCGTGTCAAAAACTTTCCTCACGAATAATACCCCTTTCATCGCTCGCGTCTTGTTTATAGCAGAATTTCATAAGAAAGAGAGAAAAAATAGCGATAGTCGTCCGTACGTCGTCGGTACGTTGCTTTACGACGTTTCATATCACGAATTAATATGTTTTCTTATTATTTTTATAATACGAATAAAAATCTAATATTAAATCTTATGTTATGATTTGAATACAATAATCCGTATTGTCGCTCTAAGTGAAATTATAACTCAAAATTATGATATTCCTTTGTGCGCGATTCTCATTCAAAGAATAAATATAAATGTACGCATGAGCTATTAGGACTGATGTTTGTATATTCATTTCTGCTAAATCATAACTCAATTCATAACTTTTATTATTATTCGAAATCCTACTTATTGTTTTAGACGAGATCCTCACAAAGTAATAATGCCACTTAGTTAGTGAAGAAAAAGTAATATTGTTGAAAAGTAACATATAACATTATTATAGTACTCGAACGTCGATGGATACTCGATTATAAATCAAGAACGCAATGCATCATAAATGGAAAAGCGTCATATTCCGTTTGCGATCTGCGATAAACAAGCACAGATTCATATCATGCGTCTAATCATATCATTGCTCATCATTGCGTATTTCTTAAACGCTGCAGTTACATTACTGTGAAAATGATGATAATAATATAAATAGACATATATGATATTTATATGATAGAAATACTGAAAGAGGACGCTTCGAAGGAGGTGGAAAAGAGATAAACTTCACAAATAGCGCAGCGAATGCTTTTTCTGTTTTCTGGCCTGTAAGAATAGATCGAAAGTATTTTATAACAATGTATGAAAGCAGAATATATGATGGATTATTGCGTAACGCTAAGACTTTCGACCGCTTTCTAAAAAAAAATCGGGCTAATCAGCGGGCGCGACGTAAAAAAGTTCTACTAGAGGAAAAAGAAACTATCATCGCTTATACGAACGTGTTGTATACATAGCTATATATGTTTACACACATTTACGTTATTTCATTTCGTATTACGATTCTAGATTAGACCATCTAGAATTTATACGAATTTAATTCTCTTGTTTGGAAAAAGAGATAAGTCCATGAAAACATAGATATTTTGAGGCGCGGAAAACATAGATATATGTTGCGCGGAATGAAATAACGTAACGTATATCATATACATACATAATATACATTTAAAAATAATATACAGGAATTTTCAAATTATTTTTCTTCGTTGTGAAATATATATTAACGCAAAGCTTTTTTTTATATCGGAAAGAACTTTGTTGTAGTATGTTAGTATACTCGCGAAAACAGGGCCGGAACATTTTTTGTATCAAGTTGCTTTTTCTGCTGAGTAATGAAGTCATTGATAATTACTTTTTAAATTTTTTACTACATAACATATCTTGAAAAAGGAAAATGAAAGAACCAAAATCTATGAAAATACGGCATATCGATCCGAGTCCTCTAAAATGGATCACACATAATTATCTTAAGGTCCTGTAATGATATGACGAGTAATAAATGGAAAAATTATGTCGAATTAATAATATACAAATATGTATCTGAGACTAGTATACTGGAAAAGAAACACGTGTAAAGTTAAGAGTTAATAAAACCATTTTAGGATATTGCTTACTTCGTTTTTGCGCTCCCTCTTCGAGCACATTAGATTAAAACGTCATTTCCGAAAATCCCACATCCACTATACCAACTATATTCACACTGAAAATTAATCATATGAATTAATTAATTTTGATTGCATTTATCTCTTTACACAATTTTTTCTTAGCGATATTTTTTATACATAATTATGATCTTGTATTAATATGATTAATATGATTAATATTAAATTGTAAATTAAAATAAATTTAAATTTATGATATATATATTTTATATTTGGAATTAAAAAATTTAAATATAATACTCTCTTCTTGAAGAACGGCTCTTTTAAAGCTTTTCGCAAAGGTTGACCTAACAGGAATTCATGCATGTAAGTGACTTAGTATTTCGCAGATTGAATTGCAAAGAAACACATTAAGCATGACATAACTCGAATATTCAAATTCTCATTGTTATATAATATTTTCAAGACTGCCGTAGAAAACGATTCTCTGTCTTACGTATTCCGTTAACATGCCAAGTAGTTTATCTTGCTGACTTGCATCATGCAAGGGAATAAATGTATTTCTTTAATTACATTTGATTATTTTGGACGAGATTGCGTTTTATAATAGAAGAATGATAAGAAGCTTAAAATAATTTACAGAAATTCTTTTGGAAATAACAAAATAAGTAATCTAATCTATCTATCTTTTATTTATTCAGAGATGAATGGCGAGCAAAAAATATTGTCGTTCTGTGATTCTCCACATTTCAATGATTTAAGCGTTGTAAATTGTGGCATCCTAAATTTATATATGAAGATTAATTCAAATTTATATATGAACATTAATGTTAAATTTATATATGAATATTATATTAACATAATATAATAATTTTGATCTAAAATATTTTTTACATTTTTGAGATAATATGCTGTATATACATTTTTAATTGTCACATTGCCTATATTTAACGTGTAAATAACACATATAATATATCTTAATCATAATCTATATGGCATTTAATGTATTAAAATATTTAATTGGTCTTTTTCAATAAATATCTTTCCATGAATATCTTTAAAATATTGGAATAATTATTTATATATAATCCATTTATTTTATTTTTGCTGTTACGTGATATAAAAAAATGTTCTTATATTAAGAAAATTATTTGTTATTTAAAATTTTATTATTTAAAATAATGATATTTAAATATCATACCTAATTATTAATTAAAAAATACAAATTTAAGACTCCTGACTAGTCACCGCGGCCATATTGGAATCGTGACGTCATAAGCGAGAAACGACACATAAAAATTTGCTATACTTTTCCTGCAAATAAAGAGACGTTGCAATAAAATAACACTTGAGATGGCTCTAAGACACTTGTAAAAACGGAACGCTACAACCTTTTTCCCTCCTGACAGTCAATAAATAGTCGTAAAAGGCACGTGAAATGAAGCCTATTCCGACAGAAAACGTACGATTTGACAGTTGTTGAAAGAGATGAAGAATATGCTTTCACATATAAAATCGAAAGATAACTTTTGTAATGTTCCGCTTTTACGACTTTGATAAACACGAAACAACTCACGTTTTCACGATTAAGCACAAAATAATGTAACAAAACGTAAAATTTCGTTACCCGCATGTCACTTATATAAAGATGAACAAGGACAAGGATGAAATAAACAAGGATGAATGAGCTTCTATTTTTCACCGCGACGGTACGTCGCTATTGTCAATGCGGAGTTTTTAGCTAAGTAGTCAGGAGCCTTAAAAAAAATTATACGCATTTAATGCCAATCGCACTGATTCTCATGCTAGATTGTTTATTTGTTAATTTTAATCACATTTAGAAATTATTGCTTAAATTCGATTTTATTATAGGAAAAGTTATTTCTTCTGGCAAAAAGACTCGTATATATGCATGAATTTTAAAATATTCAATAAATCTTATGTATTTTATAAATATGTATTTGACAAAAAATTTGAAATATTGCAAGTGCATTTTTGACAGAAAATTTAATCATAATTGTTGCGCGTTCATCGTTTTTAGTACATTGAGAGAAAATAAAAATCCATTTTATTATCTTTATAATTATACTTGGTAATCTTAGTTTTATAAAAAGAGGATAAGAAGAGAGGGCGTGTGCCAACGACGGGGCTCGACTACGAACCAGTCGTAAAAATTCGCAATTATTTTTGCGAAAAATATCACCTCAGTCAGGGATCGAACCTGGATTTCCTGCTTACCAGGTAGGTATCTTATATACACTACATATACATATACATATACGTGTATATTCTCTCAACGACTCCCTATGACCGGTACTCCAGAACGATGTTTGTCTCTCACTCGATGGATGCAGGTCGGATCGCAGTGGCGACACTTCCCAACACCACTCTTATCCCTGAGAAATGTCTTTATGTCAAGCTTAAAAAGCTCGAGAGGACAATTACACCCGGATAGTAAACTCGCAGAGATGTCTCAGATTTTATAAAATTAAGCTCGGAATCCAGTACGAGCAGTAGAACACTTAACTCTTTCAAGCTACTAGATTTGCATACAGCAAAGCCTCCATAGAAAATAGTTTTGGTAATTATATTTGTGAAAATTATGTACTTATGAAATTTAAGTACTTACTTGTAAATAGTTTTTTTTAAATAATAAGTAGTATTAAATACGATAAAAATACGTCATGGTAATAATATATGTGAATTATTAATTGATAATGAAATAGCGACTCAATTATAATTACATAGTTATATAGATTTCATACAAATAGAATATGATATTATATTTTTCCAGTTTAGACAAATATTTTTGTGAATTAAGCATAATGCAACTAATATCATTGAGATAAATTTAAAACATATATACATATATACATATATACTGACAACAATAGTAATAAGTATAATATATTAGTTTATTTAATGATTTACTACAAATTTGATTAATATTATTATATTTTCTTAGTTAGATATAACGTATTGATTGTTCTTATTACAACTTTATTATACATAATTGAGGCGCTATTGATGTACAATTTCTTGCTAGTACGACTTTTTTTCTAAGTGTACTTAATTGTATATCTATCTTATGAATATATCCAGAATTTTTTTTTTCGGAGAGTTTTTATCAATTCTGTTAACACATAAAGCACAGTAATTTTTTGTATTAATAAATTGCTTTTTGAATATTTTAAAACTTAGAATATCTCTTTGTTTCTGATTTTGAATGAGAAAAATATTAGGTTTTGTAAATCATAACTTTAATTTTACTTTAACTTTTTTTTTAAATTTCGGGAGGGGGCTTTGAATCTTCCCAAATCTCTCCCTCCATAAATACATCCATGATATCTATATAAAAAATCTAAAATCTAAAATATAAAAATGAGTCTTGTGTCTCAATCTATATCCGATCGGAAGGAAATCGCCGCGACTCACTGCGCTTCAAGGATTGATCAAATTAGAAAGATAAAATGCTGAGTCGAGTGTCGTTGAGACTCTTGAAAACATGCGTACTTGCAAGTGCAGCTAAAAAGTCTACATAAAATTAATTTGCATATGAGGAAGGACGTTTTTCTTGCAGCCAAGTGTGTTAATATTTAACAACAGAATCCAGATATTTAACAACAGAATCAGTTGAGAATTATTAATTTTTATTGGTGATGGCTCCCTTTATTGGCGCAATAAAGACGAAATTGAAATAACGTATCATACGACATGACGTAACATTTCTGGGACAATCTATAAATAATAAAAATGTGTATATCTCTCAAGAATTATATACCTCTTGAGAATTATTCCTCATTATTTGCAAAAAATACAGAGCAGGTAAATATTTTTATTTCGAAGAAGTAATTCGAAATCATATATTTTAAAGTTTCTTTGTTAGCTAAATATCTTTTCCAAAAAATTTAATATAAATATAAACAACAAATCGTCAATCGTTTTATCATTGATTTCACATAAAAGTAATTGAAAGATACATTTCTTCAAAAAAGGATTAGAAAAAAGATCACATTTTATTATTATTAACCCATAAATACTCGCATGAGTCAAATTGACTCAATATTTACAAGCTACTTGCATTTATTAATTAAAACATTACGTAAAGGAATTATTTTTAAAATGTTTTTTAAAATATAAATTTTTAACTTCTAATAATTAAAAATTGTTATGTTATATTTAAAACATATCTCAGTTTATAATCATTTATAAATAAAAATGAAAATTCTGTTTACATATAAAATATAAATAAATAATAAATATAAATAAATAAATTATACTTAAGACGTAATAAATTAAAACGATTAAATTGATTTACATCAAAAAAAGTCAGTCCGAGTTATAAGTTAAATCAATAGGCACGAATTTTTATTTGGAAATAATAACATCAAATAAGTGCAAGAGATTTTATTAATTAAATAAAATTAAAGATAAAATTGACATAATATCTTTAATGTAATTTTTAATAATCATATGAAATATAACTTGGCATTAATTTTAATGCTTTATTCATCTGTAATAAAAAAATTTTTCTGCTTTCGATTTCTCTCAACTTCAAGGAATAAAGTCATACATACAGAAACAGTAAATTCTATCCTATAAACATATTTCAAATTAAAAGGAAATTTATTTAATATTTAAAAGCGAAATTGAAAAAGAGATGTAAAGAAAACATAGTAATTATTATTTATCGATCATCGATCTATCGCTTGCGCCACTCCATGTACATGTGCACGCGTAGCGGACGCGCACGTGTAAATATTTACCGGCGCATGCGCGGCTGGGATGTCCAACTGTCACGTGACCGCGCGCGATATAAAGCGGTGCCAATGCGCCGGCCGGTATTACCGTCGTTGGAGTAGAACGCGTAGCTTGCCGATTGCTTTCCCAATCGTGTAGGCAAACAAAGACAAGAAACTCGACAACAACGGGGAAAGCATCGCACTTGAAAGAAACGCGACGCACTCGTGAAACTTTAACCGGAGCTCTTCTTTTCAAGCTCCGAAGCTTCTCACAACCCGTGATTTTTGCGATATCGGAAAATCGCTTCGTCGTAAATATCGTGGGATTTGAACGTGTGATCGTTGAAACGATCTTAAGCCATCACGTATCGACGCGACGATCACGGCACGCGGGTGCTCGTACGTCGTTTGCAAACGGTTCTGCCGTAATTAGGCAAGAGCAGCTGCAAACTCTACTACTCAGATCTCAACTTCGCAGATCTAGATTTCCGAGCCAAACTGGACGAGAAGATGGCTTCCAAGGACGAATGGGATTACTTTCAGAACGGTAAAAGAAAAAGAAATATCTCTATTCCTCGGAAATGTACACTCCGCTCGTACGGAGTGGAGTGCACAACGGATTAATATTGTGTGTAAACTCGAATTTGCGTCGCAATTGCGCCTTTATCAGAGTGCGTCCGGTGTCACTCTTGAAATTTTAATTGCGAATCTAAATCACAAGTGAATATCGCGTGTATTCTAAATCTAAACAAAAATTATTTTTCCGAGGAAAAATGAATAAAAGAAATGTGGAGGAAATTGTAACTCTCAAGTAATTATAACTTTCAGGCCGTGATCGTAATTGTATGTCGACGATTTTCCTGTAAATCGCACAGGTACTTGCTACCCGTTTTCCTCGTACGTCACTTCTGATAAGCACGCATCGAAATTATTGATTAGCCACTTTGTCAATCGGCGTACATTCAATATGCATTTAACTGGGATATTTCTGTGCTTAATGTTACAATCACTGCTAGCAGTCGCTGAGCTTTTAGATTAACTACGGCGAACGGACGCATTCGTGATAACTCCTATCGCGACGGTTAATTGAATTCTTCGCTCGCTACGAAGAAGGCATGTGCTGATTTCGTTGCAAATCAGAATTCTTCCCTGAGAAATATTGAATATGTGAAAAGATACGTTAGGATGATCAAGAGCGCGTTTTAGATAAAAACGGGCGTGTATAAATTAAAGTTAAAAGTTAAAAGTTTGTAATTGATTTCTTCGAGACACATTGATTAAACTTGACTTCACTAAGATTTTCTCTTTTTCCTTTTATAATGATGAAATTACTTTCTTTGTTTCTTTTTTTTCTCTTTTTTCCTCTCTCAATATAACACTGAAAAGTTGGGCTCGTCAACTTTTTCATTTCAGCTGTAAAAGCACATACTTTTTCAAGCTCTATTAAATGCAACGGTGATACAAAATTGCCAACACGTGTAAATCTCTTTCTCTTTTCCTCAAAGTTTTTCTTTTTTGAATTGAAATCTTGAGAAAACTTGGCATCTAACATAACGGCTTGGCGTCTGTTTGTTTTTCTCTTCTAGAATTATCGATCTCTGCGGAAACCTTAATTCTTCAAATAATAATATCTTACTAGAAACCTTTCAACAGACGCTTCCACAACTTTTAAAGATATCTTGATTGATTTTTCACAAATGCTATTCGTTAACTTTAATAATTTTCATAAATATCAATTTACTCAAATAATATAGACAATATTTTAGACTCTTAAGTCATTCGTTCAGTTTCAATTAATGCATACGCGCATCAAAATGCGATCATATACATATGTTAAACATCAATTGTCTGCACGTGCGATTCAAAATGAAACAAAAATATTGAAATTTAAGAGAGATCTTTCAGAGAGAATCGTTCGTTTCGTGTCTCGCCCCCCCCCCCTCCCTCTCTTCCGTGCCCCTCTATCCTTTTTCTCTCTTTCTTCTAAATTCCTGTCCGCTCAATTTTCGTCTCGGTTTCCGGATGGCACCGCAGGCTCACTGACCTCGGGCCATTGTCTTCCTACACGAATGCAGGGCGAGCGGGCCGTGCCAAGCGACCGAGAGAGGTGCTTCTTTCCTCGCAGCCCTCGTGGAACGTGGGGCACGACTCCGGCGAGGTAAATGAAAATCAATAGTTTTCTTCCGTAGTGCTGTAGGCCGATGCACCTGTAATCCCACACGAACGGCCGCTCGCACACGAAAGCCGGGGGGTCGCAGACCCAGTTTCACTTTGTTCCGCTGCCGGGGTTGCCGTGCATGCCCCCGAAACGCCCTTAATCTCGAGTCAATTTGTCAGCGCTATCTTTCAGCTGATTGTTAACGCCGAGCGTGCGGCAGCTGAAGCGCACCAGAAGATTCGCAATCCAACACGTTATCGGATTCTCGGGAATCGGCCCACTGCCAAAACGAGACGATGAAATCTCGTAGAGAGGGATGATTAAGTCGTTTTGACTCGTTTAAACGCGCGTGGTTCGGTTCGGCGCGGCTTGACTGCGAGACACTTGTTCGCTTGAAATTGATCGATGCATTCGGTCGTTCGTCAAATTATTTTGGAAGAATCCGTCATTCCGAATGATGCGGATTGTTAACATAATTGCGAGTTGCCATTGCGCGCGCAAAGTGGGATTGTTTTCCTAATAGATTTATCTCGGATGAATTTTGAATAGTCCGGTCGATGCTCAACGATCATTTCACGTGTAAAATATATATCCTTGACTCTAATTTTATTTTAGATATACATTAGATATACATTAGATTACATTATAATTTTCTGTTTTAAAATGTCTTTTAAAACGCGGCGTCGAAAATGATAGTACGCTTATGTGAATTAATTCGGATTTTGAGTAATCGAGGCCAACGTTCCGAAGCACGAAATCTCGTAACGCTCAATCTCTTATTTGCGTATTCCATCCATTCGCTTAACAAGTACCGGAATGCTGATTCTGATTGCGCTTATAAGTGACTAAAGAAGGTAGATATTCTATTTCAGTTTAATTAGCATATATATAAAATAAATGTAAATGATACACGTATGAGCTAACAATATGACTGATCTAAGAAGATTACGTAACAACTAGGAATTAAAAACTGACACGATAAAGCATATCGTAATCAAGTCGAAGTCTAAGTGATCTTTTTTAGAGCAGATAAAGAGGATCAAGACGTTGAAAGATTAACGAAAAGTGATGACAAGATATTCCTTTCGATTGTAATTCGTGTATTATATGCTCATACGCCGCGCACTATCGCAGTGCTTCCTATCGATTTAGGTTGTTGCCGAGGCAAATATAATTTCAATTTCGTGATTTATCCGGAATAAAAATAAAATGTACTTTTATTCTATGTTCAGGAATTCTAAAAAAGGAATTCTATTTTTCCTCGAGTAACGCCAAGTTTTAACGCCTACGGTCGTGATTTATAAAATTTTTATAGACTCAGTGAACTCTTCGCGTGCGAGGGACGCGAGTACTTATTTTATTTCATTTATAGGACCTCATCCACGAGACCGCCTCTCGCGTTTCGTCTTCCATGAAAAATACTCCGCAGACTACGTGTGCGAGATATGATGATATTTCACGATCGCGTAAATCATATCTTTCATTTAGGCTACAAATATCGCGTTGTGCGTGTGGAAATATCGGCGAGCCATTTCATCAGGTGTGAAAGAAAGTTTTCAGTCAACAATCGGAGAATTGGGATGGAGAAATCTTCTCTCTCGCGAGAACAGTCACGCGGTCTCTCCTTCGTTCGCGACGATTGACTTGCAAATTGCTCGTCGACTGACGATTGCCATTCTAGATATACGCTTATTATGCACACACAGGTGAAACTTACGTACGCACGTAATTTATTTGCATATTGTATTTGTTTCTATCAACGGCTTGTGTTTTTTTCTCATTCTTTTCTTTCCCGAACGATTAAATATGTACTGTATATACTGTATTTTAAAGGGCATTAATATTCACCCGTGAGTCGCTATTCAAAAGATCGATGTATGTCGCAGGCTTTTGATCCACGATACGTGAATATTGATTAAGAATTTTTTGCTATCTAATATAACACACGACGCGCATTAAGGATATAAATAAAATGTAATGAAAAGAGAAATTTCACGATAGAGATATCAAAATATCGCGCGACGTACCGCAGAAGGACAAGTGTGGCAAAATACGACAGGACTCTATCATTAAATGATAGAGTCTTGTCGTATTTTGCCACACTTGTCCATTTTTATAACGTAATATAACGTAATATTGAGTCTATGATAATGATGGCTAGTAATCCCAAGATTACAACATTAATAATCTATAGGTGGGAAACGCGCACATGTTTGTGTGAGAGACGTATTAATCTAGACGTATTAATCTTAACTTCTTGATTGGCACGAAAGGATTATTATATTGGGAGAGAGGAAAATATTTGCTAAATGTATTCACGATTTTATTTTAATCGGAACTTATATTCAGCTTTACAATATTTTCGTTGAATCACTATGTCGCAAGGAATTGAACAAATTTTCAAATAAGCATCAATTGTTCTTATCTGTTTTGCGGAAAGTGACAAGAATTCAAGCTATCAGGTCGATTGACAATATCAGTCGTCATGATCTTTCTTTAACATTTTGATGTCGCTATAATTTTTCATCATTTATATTAATTGTTAATTATATTATCGTTTATATTAATTATTACAATTATATCTTAATCAACTTTTTATACTCAAATAAAGAATTTATGATCTTGATTTTTAGTAATTTTAGATTTTAAGTAATTTTTTTTGTTAATCGTTTAAAATACAAAGCAATTTTAACATTATATAAGAGTAAGCCCGTGGAACTAGACAATAAACAAACTGATTAATCATAATTGAGTATTTTTGAGAATAATAAATTAAATGGGAAAAGATAATTTCCAGATAATTCGAATGCACGAACTAAGACTATCTATAATAAATTAAATGGGAAAAGATGTTAATGCTTATCGTTATCGCTTTTCGATTCGAACTAGATAAACGACTGTTTTATTATTATTATTACGAAGCTATCCTTCAATGGGAATTCACGTGATATCAGTTTCAATGCCGTGGACGGATTTCTTACGTTCTTACGCTCCGCGAATGACTAATGATTCGTCTCAGTTCGTGAAACTCCACGCTTTCAATTTTTATGGACGATTATGTGAATATCATATAGAGATTTGCTCAAATTTATTGAAACTGCTATTGTGATCAGTATATGTTAATATTTTATTAAC